CTAAAAACTGAACTTACCCCAAACTGTAAAATGTGCAGAAGAGCAATAATATCGTTTTAGAATTTAAGTCATAAAGAGTAAATTAAGCAAATTTGAATATCATTGCCAAATGCCACACTTGATACAGATCTATGGCCAGGGAAGAGATGGGCATAGATCTACACCTCTTTCATGCTATATTGACTTGGTGGACTTTCAATGCTTCTGAAAGCAACAGAACACCAGGAGCCTTTATAGATGGACAGCAAACAATGAATAAGAGACACAATGCATGATGTAACAGTTATTGCCTTCTTGTCTTGTTCAGTGCTTAGGCTGGCCAAACCCCTTAAATTTAAATGACTAGAACAATTTAGTAATAAATTTCATTTTGATAGTCCTATGGAGAAGAGAAAATCATCCATCCTCCACAATGTGGTATCCTAGGTATAAAATTTTACCCAGAATTTTATCTAGCATCATGACCCATAGGCCTAATATTTCATGAATGTATTTTCTGCTGTATCTGTGATCACACTAAGTTTGGAAATGGTTGGGGTATATGTTCAGATAAAGGATTTTTCATAGAACAATTTTCTGCCACCAAAATTATTAGTATGTTGCAGACTAGATTATTATCAGTTGTAATAGTAGAGGCTCCTTAGAGTGTTACAGGACTCAGATTAGATTTAAAAAATGTCTAAACCCTATAATTGTTCTTTTTGATTTAGAAAACTTCCAAATTGATTGTACAATCACTGAAGAGTACTTACTTGCAATTGAACACTTGAACCCAAACCTATAAAAAGCTTTTCAACCCTTCTCAGATCTTTAATATTAACCAGGTATTAAGAAGGTCAGATCTCATTGATCTTTCTAAATTAGGACATACTAGTTCCATTCACATGACCTTTCAAAGCTGTCCTAATATTTGCATTTATGTTTTTTTTTTTCATAGTGGGTTTAGATGTATTTATTGTAAAATATTTCTATTGTTGGAAACTATTAAAATGTTGCAAGTGCACCATCTCCTATAATAAAATCTTATCAAGAGTCCTTGGTTTTTGTTTTTAATGGACCACATAGAGCTTTAATTGTGGGACATAACCCCCGCTTTTGAAGACACCTCTGTTCCCAAGGTTATTCTATTGAGAATAACACATTTTTCATTGAAAGTAATTTCCTTTCTGTCATTAGAAAATAACTAGTAGGCAGACAAAAGTTTTGATAATACTGTTATATGGACAAACTGAAAATGAGATTCTTAAGAATGTACTGTAGATCTTTCAATATTTATTTTTAAACAGGCCTTCCTCAACATCTGTAGAGCAGAGGTCCTCAACTTCCGGCCCACGGCCCACTACTGGGCCGTGAAGTGTTCAAAAACAGGCTGCAAAAGCAGTAGGTGAGCGCTGTTTACACACACATTCCAACTTGGCGTGAGCAGTGAACAAGCATGCCCGTATGCCTTCCGTGCACGCAAATGGAGTGTGCATGGACATGTGCTTGCCCACCAATCATGCGGAACCATTCCCCCCCCCCTGCTGGTCCACAAAGCCGGAAAGGTTGGGGAACTTTGCTCTAGAATCATGGAAAGTTAACCACATACTTTATTGTTTTCCTCAAATATATGGGCTTGCAAAGCAGATGCGCGCACACACGTATTCATTCATTCAGAATCTGAATTTCAGATATTATGGACAGACGTTCCACATAGAAGTGATTAAGTGTATCTGTAATATTCTTGTTATCTGGTGAGCCTCAAATAAGCTGATTCTGTAAAATAGAATATTCCTTTAAATCCGCAGTCTCTATACATAGGATTACTGACAATTGTGGACAGGCTTAAAAACAGTATGTGCATAGTTTAACATTTATCGCTTTCTACTGAAAGCGAACATTTAAATTTATATAGGATATGTCGAACATTTTGACACTGTGAATGTTTCAGTGTCCTGTCAGCAGTAGAACACACACTTTTCATGCAAATGATTCTTTAAAAAAAATCCCTGATAGATTTAGGTAGAGCTGTGAAAAGCTCTTTTTTGAAACCCTGGGGAATTACTGCTACTCTACTAAGTCTGACTTTCTTCCTATGTTTCATAAGGCAACAAGTTCAACACTGAACCCATGAAGATTAGAAGTTTCCTTTAATCCTAGATAATAGTTAGGGAGAGCAGAAAGAGCATGGTTTATGGAATTTTCCCCCATCTCTTAATACTAGTTCTGTTCTTGATGAAGTAACTGGGAAGGAACAATGAAAGAGAGTTAGAAAGGGATCAGCAACACTCCAAGCCACTGGCCACCTGTCTCTGCCATGGAGGATTTCTTCACAGCAACGAAGCCAGATCTAGACAATTTTTGAATTGCAATTTCTTTTGATAACTTCAATCCCCCTCTCAATCCAGCATTAAATTTAGTCAAGTTCTGTTCAGTTTTTCAGGAAATTATCTATTTGGACAGGTAGATCTTGATGGACAGGCCGGCAGCATCCTAAACTTCCTTATACAATTTCTTTCCATCATTTTCTATTGAGTCGGAAAGAATAAAATCACATTTACTACGAAACTATAGATACAAAGACCGCCAGTTGGTGTAGTGGTTAAGGTACCATGCTAGAAACTGGGGTGGGTGGGTCTTGCCTTAGGCACAAAGTCAGCTGTGTGACTTTGGGCAGGTCACCCTCTCTCAGCCTTGGAAAAAGGACTTCTAAACCATTTCCAAAATCTTACCCAGAAGACTGCAGAGCCTTGCCTAGGTAGCCTCCAAGAGTCAACACTGACTCAAAGACAAAAAAAGCAAAGACACAAACATTAACTGGGAACCAGTTCTATCTACCATTCACACAGTTACAGGTAGTCCTTGACTTACAACAGTTCATTTAGTGACCGTTGAAAGTTACAACAGTACTGAATAATGTGACTTATGACCATTTTTCACAGTTACGACTTTTGCAGCATCCCCATGATCATGTGATCAAAATTCAGATGCTTGGCAACTAGTTTATGTCCATTGCTGTGTCCCAAGATCATGTGATAACTTTTTGCGACCTTCTCACAAAGTCATTGGGGAAACTAGATTCATTTAACAACCGGCTTACTAACTTATCAACTGCAGTGATTCACTTAACAATTGTGGCAAGAAAGGTCATAAAATGGGGCAGAACTCACTTAACAAATGTCTTGCTTAACAACAGAAATTTTGGGCTCAATTGCAGCCATAAGTCGAGGACCTGTATATCATATAGCCTGTCTTTTCAAGGAGGTATAGTCAATTCAATGTTTCGAATTAATGCTATTCTACGCCATTTTTGAAAGGTAGGAGCCTAACTTCACTCTCCAAAAAGAGTGGTTGCCTTTTCATTACACGATAGACTGGCTGCATTAAAATTTTCATTTAGTTGATTTTTTTAAATTTTAAAATATGGCAGTATTTTATGAAGTATGCTAAACTGCTTGGTTCTTGAGATTTATGCATGTTAGCAAAACTCCTTTTACAGTAAATCAACTGAAACATTTACCCATATTCATGTTTCCATTTGAGCACAACTACTAGGCAGATCTTCAAAATTCTCCTAAATGTTATTTTCCAGCTATGCAACTGTTGTAGGAGCTGAATTGCTTCTTTTAAATACCTTTGGTTTGAAAAATGTAGGGCATAAAGAGAAGACACACTACACTACATTTTTGCTAAACACAGTATATTGTAAATCTCTAACTTCTAGCTATCCATGCTACTTTCTTATTCTGCCAAGCTGTTAACAGTCTTGTTTAAAATGCATGGACAGATCACAGACCATCACACAAAGGGCTTAATCTATAGATAAATATTCATAGTTTATTAAGCTTCAGGGAACGCATGAAGCTGTTTAAGGCATATATGGAAGAATAATGTCACAATAGAATCTGCATCTGGGGAAAACAGGGTTATTGCAGGTTAGGAAATTAGCTTGACTTGGGTGTCTTTGATGTGCAACTAATAGAATGTGAGTTCCATGCTGCTGCTTGTTTAGCAATGGAAAGACTGCCTTTAGGCTGACAGAAGGGGCATGAGCAAGAAGATGTCCCAGTATGTATTGGAGACTGCTTTACCTTGAAAATGCAAAGTAGAGACAGATGGATTCATTTGGGATTTATTCTATGTGCATATGTACTTTTGCATCAAACATATACATCCAGGAAATCCCAGAATTTTTCATAGACTGTCTTGCAGGTTACTTTTTTTTTTTTTAGTAGGGAACTGCTTTCCTTTTTTACTTAGCAGTAGGAAAGCCCAGACAGGCTAGTCTTCTCTGGTTACCTTTGCTCCCTTTTCCTGTTACATGCAGGATTTGGGGATGGCAATTAATACCATGTGCACGCATTGTGAGGAATGGCTGTTTTTAATAAAAATTAACAACAAATTTCCTCCAATAATTCTCTTCTGAAAAACAGCAGTCCAATCCTGTTTTCCTATTCTTGCTTTTTTTTTTTTTTTTGACAGAGATACAACTTTTCCATTAAACTCTTTGATAGCATGGGTAGAGCACAACTTCATATTGTTGTTTCTATGGGAAGCAGAAATTGAAATACAGAGCTAAAAGTGAGATCTTCAGTCAATGCAACAATCCTGCCCTTTCCCATTTGATAGCTTCCACACTGAATGAAGCTTATTATGGAACCATTTTATCTCACAGGAAGAAGCAGCATATACCTTGCTTAGTGAAAAGCATAGGCTAGGGCCTGTCTACAATGATCTCCAATAGAAGTAAATGTTCAGAAAAGTTCCTGTTTATAAAACAGTTCATTTAAATCAATAACTGATTCTGCAATGTGGTTTCATGCTGTTTTAGCAAGGGGCGTGCCATAATGTGCTCAGCTTTTTTTTTAATCACCACTCCCTACTCCAGTTTCCCCCCATATTCAGATATTTCTTTTTCTGAGGACAACATCAAATCCTTAAAAAAAAGGATCCCCCTCCCCAAGTCAGTTGTATACATTATTAATGAAGGAAATTGCATTATCTCACAAATCAGACAAAGGGGGTATAGAGGGATGTTTATTTCAGTCCAAGTTCTGAAGCCTGGGGCACAGAATCTCTGCATTCTGCTCTTCAGCTGGTCTCTGGTGGGTTAGCTCAGATTTCAGCTGCAGTATGATCACTTCAGCAGTCAGTGCATCTATGCCGTTTGCTAAAGAGATGATGGCACTGGTTGGGTTTGTGTGTTTGGCCTTCGTTGCCCTACCCTGATTGCTTTCTCTTGTTGATGGTGACTCTGCTGACCCATACCAACTTATTTCTTTATTTAGCTGCTGTTGCTTCAACATATAGTGTTATGCCAGGGAATAGATAGCATTTACTGGTGATGTGGCTTCTGAGCTCTCATTGCCTTCTGTCTCCTCTTTGTCCTTCTTAACTGTGTACTGGCCAATAAAGGAGCCATCTTCATTGAACTGTCCTTCACCTCCTTCTCCATAGTCCACCAAGCTGTCATCACTTTCTTGTTGCTTTATTGTGCCATCTAAGGAGGTCTGACTGCCTTGCAGTGGCTTGTTGTCTTCATCACTGCATTAAAAGGAAAAGGAGAGGCATCAGACATAAGAAAATATGGTTTAAAAGGAAAGCATCATATTAGAATTTGAAAGCAGTGTCCGAGTGATGATACACAAAAAGGCAACAACTGTGCATAAAGATCCAGGAAAATATGGTGACATCTTTGTAAATACAGATGCCTGGAAAAATTTAGGGGCAAAAAGTAACATTTTTCAAATAAATTAGGAGAAGGAAGTTCCTCAGTGTTATGATAAGAAAAGTCATCCTGAAGAACCAAAAGCAAAAATTAGCAAGCCAAATAGGAGAATAATATATCACAGTTCTGAGCCTTCTAGTTTCTATAAATCCCATTTCATCAAAGATACACTTTGTCCAAAGTGCACTCACTGACAATTTAAGTGAAAGTCTTTCAGCAGATCTAAAGAGGACAAAAATCTTTTTTAAGGTTCATTTTGGCTGTTTCATATGAAAGCAATTTTTTAAAAAAATGATGCAGGCCTGATTTAAAAAATAAAGAAAGAAGAAAAAAAAAGCAATGTCTTAAGTCAAACCTTGTTAATTGTACCCAGGACACCACCAGAAAAGCTCAGGTCTCTAGGGGCTAAATTGGAAACTTGGGGGAAAAAAATGGCAAAGACAAATGATGACCATATTGGCACCAAGAAAATTGCATTAATATATAGCAAGCAAGCTCAATTTAAGGGAACATTTACCTTTAACTGACATATAATAACATTTCTCTTTGCCACCTCGAGAAAGCTTCTGCAAAATTTGTAAGATGGGTTAACTATTTTGAGTCTTTTTTAAAAAGACGAAAGACTCTCATAGGACTAAGTCTTGTTGATAGTTACGAGTCCTGAGGATAGTGAAGTTTGGATTTGATTGCCAAAATGCACTTTAAAGTACACAGAAGTGTGAACACAGCACTTCTCTGCAACACTTTAAAGCAGCTACATTTTCTTCAGGATAGTATAGCTGTCCTCTGCAGGCACCACACAATCTCAGGAAAAGATATGGTTACTTTCGGAACTGCAGACTGATGCCATATCCATGCAATTTCTCTTTTCCAGAGGCATGACCAACACCCCTGAACTCTAACACTTTTTATCTTTAAGTCTGAAGTGTTGAAAGGCTTTACTGAATACTCATGTGAGATGTATTCCTTTAATTGTTTGCAAGTTGTGCAAAAATTAATAGATATACTAATATCACAAATGACTTTTGGTTTCCAGTATTGCCAATTCATTTGCTTTTTGTCATCATATTATGTCCAATAGATAAGTTCTATAATATTGAAAGTTGCATCTTGCAAGCTCTGATGTGGTCTGAATTGCCAGCAGATAATCATTCTAGGTTACTTGCAGTCCCAGGTACAACATTCTTTATTTACAATGAGAAGAGGAATTTCTTTTCCTTTTGGAAGGAGCCAATGTTGAAAAATGCGTACATGCTACTTTTGAATATCTTAGACAACTGTAAATCTCATGTTTTGCAACCGGGAATTAACATGCTTGTAATGGCACAAGTTAATTTCATTATCAGGGTTTGGGCAAGTAATTGAACTTGAGGCAAGAGAAGCTTTGAGGCAGAATGGGTTAGCATTATAAGAAGGCATAAAGACAAGAACAGCAAAAGCCACAGATGCTAGAGATATTTGTTTTCAAGTTAAAATAAGTATTTTAATAAAATGTAATTGCAATGAAAATTTGCCCCTTCCATATTTAATGGCAGTAAAGTTTTCAAGGGATTTCCTATTTTGATCCCACAAAGCCTGGATTCCAGAGAACCACACAGCAATGTATGCTGTATGAAGTGTTTTTTGCTTTTGTCTTCTTCCATGAAGTCATCCTGTTGTTGTTCTAGAGGACTGCTTTGAAAAGCAGATGTAAGAAATGCTGTTTGACATGCCGCAAATACTCTGATATTCTGCACACGGCTCTCTGGATTGCAAGCCAAACAAGTAACCGTACTGCCTTGTTAATATATTAGGAAAATAAATGAATTGAGCCTTTAACACACAAATACAATGTGCTTATTAGATAAATCTTGCAGTTTATTTAATATATTAAATACAGTCAACCACGCCACAAGTGAAATTGGTTTGGGAGCATCATGTTCAAGAGTTGCATTATGTTGGAAGGAATAATTTGTGAATGAAAGATCTTCAATCTGAACTTCTGAAACTATTGGCATCTTCTTGACCATGCTTCTTTCGTTTTAGTGCCCAGTAAGTGAAGTCAGTTATAATTGCTTTTAAAATATGATGGCCATATCATACCAGTAGCTTACCAGATAATATGGAGCTACTCAAAAGCCTGTAATCCAGTAGACCCTTTTTCATGACAGTAATCACTACTCAAGTGTGCAGATTTTCACTGCACATATAAATATTAGTCAAGAAAAAGGAATGAAGCTAGGGCCACTGCAATGTCATTGGATATGGTATTGGGTCTGAATCTACAGTCAGAATGCAACTCTATGGACACAGGACACCTGAATCTCCAGAATAAGAAAGAAATTTCTGTTTAACTCTGTTAGATGAAAAGTGCTGGAACAGAAACATGGAAGGGAGTTAGAAATTAGATATGCTTAGAAGTGCTGAAAGAAAGTGTGTGCAAGGGTTTGGGTCATTCCTACCTTTCAAGAGACCTTCATGGTCCATGTAGAAGGATAAAGTGAAAAGGACAAGAACAGATGAAAATAAAACAAGGAGAGAAGCAAAAAGAACCTGATCAGAGAGCAAAATAATATAGTCTTGAAGTTTAGGGATCAACACTAAATAAATAATAGTAATTGTAATAGTTCTTACTTTCTGGAAGGGCTAAGCATCTTAAAGTACCAAATGAAAGCCAATTTAAAACACAAACTGCTAATTGTGTGCAGTAACATAAAAAAGCAACTACTTGTTGATAAATGTCAATGATACTCCCCCCTCCCTTCCCAGCTGGGCACCCTCAAAGCTGAGCCATGGTGGCAAACTCTCATTGCCACTCCAGACATGCTCTCATTTTAGCGATTTTAGTCCAACTAAACAAGCCGGTATACGTCTGAAGGCTTTAATCAGTCACACTCTCTCAGAGAAGTAAAACAAAGCATGGTCTTGCCAAAAAAAAAGGGTCTCCAGGAAAGGCCTCAGCCTTAGATGAAAATGCTCCAAAGAGGAAGGAGGAGGAAAAAGAATTATGTGCTGGAGTTTCCTACACAAAGAGACTTTTAGATGAGGGGGGAAGTAGATATCATAGATCTAGAGGGAAAAGTCCACCTCTTTTGTATATTTATATAGAAATTCGTTCATATAGAAATAAAGTGGGAAACAGGAAAAAAGCACATTAGTTGTTTCTTAGAACATTTTCATTGTGTTCTAGACAGACTCTCTATCCTTGAAAGCAGGGGTCTCCAACCTTGGCAATTTTAAGACTTGTGGACTTCAACTCCCAGAATTCCTGGGAGTAGAAACTTTGCTGGCTGAGGAATTCTGGGAGTTGAAGTCCACAAGTCTTAAAGTTGCCATGGTTGGAGACCCCTGCTTTAAAGAAAACAGGGTTGATTAGCATTATGAGGAAGGAGAGTCCTGAAAACTAAGCAGCAGATCTTATCAGAATATTTCCATCTTCAGAAAATCTGTAGGTGCCAGAAAGTAGTCACAAAAATCACTCGAGTGCAGAAATATACTATCTGAGTTCATATGAAATCATTAGCCAACATTCAAGGAACCAAAGAGATTGGGTGAAAATAAGTCTTCTGGCTTTAAATAAGCATTGCTAATGTTCTGATTTCACTATCACCAGGCCTGCAACTGAAAATACCAGGATTAAGCTGATTTGGAGCCTGGCAGAGATAGACTGTATTAAAACATGAAGAGTGAAGGGAGAAGGAAGATTGAACAAATACAATTGGTATAAGGTTTTAGTTGTTCTCTTTCCTTTCTCTCTCTCTCTCTCTTTCTTAAGTCAGATGTTTAGTAGAATGAGCGCTATTAATGGCTAAAGACTTTATAGCTTATTCCTCTTGTAAGGAGACTATAAGTCTGGCAGCAGAGTAGAAAGAAATGACAGTATTTCTCTTAATTATAGCCTGTGGCCATTGGCATGCTCTATGCATACGCTTTTACAGCTCTGAAGGACATGATCAGAGTGTGTCAGACATATTTCAGTGAATTAGGAAGAGAACAAATAAAGAAAACATGCCAGTTTATATCCTGTTCACTTTCAAAAGCTATCTGTCACATCTCAATGACTATGAATCTTAATTAGCCACATTTCTCTGTCAGCTAATCATTTTCTCTTCTATTCTGACTTCTTATGTGATTTGTCACTTCTTTAACATCCTGCATTAAGTTATGCAGCCATGTTTTGGGGGAGAAAGCAACAAAAAGCCCTGTTTCTAGGGCTCCAGTGGAAGAAAGTATAATATTTTATATCACAGATTTTTTTCTCTTGCACAAATAAGAAACTGATATTTGTAAAATAAAATGATTCAGCCAGTTTACTGCTTCAGATGAATATTCAACTCAGCCCAGATTTTACTGTTAAAGATAGTTTCCTAATAATCAGGACAAACAAAAACAATCATAAGAATACTTTAGTAATCAATTAACACAGGCAGTTCTAAATGTTTGGAATTGGTTCTATGCCAGGGTCAACATTTTTGATGGCTGGTATCTTTACCCACTCTTCATCCATTTTGTGCTAATGTGTTCTTTGCGATAATGTAACATCATCTTTGCAACTTTCATTGCAAATGATAGTGTCAAGATAGTGTTTTTCAAGTTAACTAAAAATACTAGAGTACACGTCTGTCTTGATAAGTCATGAATGATATATGGTATTTCCCAAGAAACTCATTTATTCAATCTACTAAACAAACCCAAATTACTTTTTATTTTGCTTTGAGTAGCTTGAAGAATTCTTAATCATAATTAATATATTTTGGAATTGTGACCACATTGTTCAAAAACAACTCTGGAAGGGAACAAGCAGTTTAATTAATATGATTTGGCACTACAAGATTTACACATTGCTTTTTTTCAAAATCCTGTAGTCAATTCTCCAAACAGCTTCATATAGCAATAGCACTTAGACTTATATATCGCTTCACAGTGCTTTACAGCCTCCTCTAAGTGGTTTACAGGGTCAGCATATTGCCCTCCAGCAATCTGGGTCCTCATTTTGCTGACCTCGGAAGGATGGAAGGCTGAGTCAACCTTGAGCCGGTCAGAATTAAACTCCTGGAGTGAGCAGTGAGTTAGCCTGCAGTACTGCATTCGAACCACTCTGCAACCATGGCTCTTATATACATAATGCCAGACCTTGCACTGCAATTTTAATAAAGCTTTTTTATCATTTTTATTCTTGTTAGCTTTAAAATAAAAGTATTGAATTTGGGAGGAGAGCAATTGTATTTTGAATAAATCATCCTACAGTTTTAGAATAGCTGGACATTTCTTTTTGTTTGCTTGTTTGTTTAATAGCAAGCAAGGGACTGAAGCGCCAAGTTACACAGGCTCACAAAATATGGTTAATTTAGCAAGTGGTAGCAGTGTTTACCTGTTTCAGTTCCTTGGAAGTAAAGGTGAAACAAATGTAAACCTTGAATTCAGGACCCATCTGTGAACAGCCAAAGAACACACTTTTGCTTTGAAAAATCAAGAGAAAAAGTGGCTGTGGTCCTTAAAAAGATGTCTCTGATTTACATGAAGTAGTGATGGTATTGGAAGTTAAAACACTGTAATTGTCAGAAAAATTTAGTAGATTCATAGAGGCTATCAAATATCCTTCAGTAAATCAGAAATATGAAGCTTCTCACTGGTTTTTAGAAATGTAGGCTTATTCTTCCTAAGAAATAACCTACTCGCTGTTTATTCTTCCAATTTCTGGGGTTGAACTAGCAGAAGGAGGCATATGTTTTTACTCATGTCTGTTTTTGCACTACAGACCAAAGAAGATTCTGGAAATTGCTAACTCTCCCACAGTGCCTACCTTTCTTATCTGATGTAATGATCCCCACTCAAGAGAGCTCATCATTCAACATTCAAAAGTGATTAAATTCTCATTAAGGATACTGTGTTATCCTTTCAGATTTCAAAAGGAATTAGAACCGATCTACTTGTATAGATAAATCAGACGGTACAAAATTATTGGAACTGTACTATTGAGTCAGACAATGAAAGATTATATTTCATGTACATTTGGATGACTCAGCCTAGAGGAATTCCATCCTTCATGAGGATGGTTCTGATGTGCAGAGATATGTCTCTATGTGTATGCATGTGTTTATATGTATGCCTACGTATCTTTCACTCATAGACTTCAGTGGATGAATTTTAAAAATGCTGATTTCATTTTTATATATTTTAAATACATAGATTGGTGCTTCTTTTGGTAGATAGTTTAAGCAACACTGGAAGGATAAAGAGGAGTAAAATGTAAATTCATGAAAATGAAATTAGAAAGGAGTTACTTGTAATGGCAAGCAGATAGAAAATGCCTGATATATATATGTTGAGTGAGAAACATACCTGTAATCAAATGATCCATTATCTACCTTCTGATCATCAGGATCGAGGGGCACATCTTTATTTGCTCGCACTGGGAAGATATATGTAAACAATTAAAAACTCAAAAGCATTGATCCAATTTGCATATTTTCTATGCAAATCAATCCTGCGCACACCAGAAGGAAAGCTAAATCATCTGCCTTAGCCAGTTACAGTGGTACTTATATAGCTTTAAGTCATTTTCCTCAATAAATCAATGAGCAAGTATAATGTTTTTAATTTATTTGTTTAACTGGCTTCTCTTTATCTAGTATTATGACTAATGTCAAGAACAGATCATATTTTAGACTTATTTCTAGGGTATGTGTATATATATGTATATATATGTTATATATGTATATATATATATATATATATATATATATATATATATATATATATATATATATATATATATATATATATATATATTTTCTGAGGTTTTCGTGGGTGTTTGTATGTAGGTCTTTGGTTATTCAGGTCTTCTCCCGCCAAGACACTTCCAATTTTACGTGGGAGAAGAGCCGAATAACCAAAGACTTACATATACATATATACACACACACACACACACACACACACACATACCATGACTATATATATACTGTATCATGACTATACTGTCTAGGGGCTGCCTTTGTTCCAGAATGGTGCAACTCAAGCAGTTATGGGTGTATCTCAGTTCTTCCATGTAATAAATCTGTTGTGTAAGTTGCAATGATTTCAGGATACAAATCAAGATGCTGGTTGTGACCTATGAAGCCCTTCATGGTAAAGGGATGGGCTATCTGACGGACCACCTATCTCTCATTGTTTTTGTCCAACGGTGGGACAAGTTCCAGGTTCCATCATTAAATCATCTGATGTAACCCCCTTCCGTTGCAGAGCCTATCCTGTCCAATAGTATCACCCTGGAAGTTTGCTAGTCTCAGCCCTTTTTAAAATGGCTACTGAAGATCTGTTTCTTTCCCTAGGTAATAGGTTAGGAGGATATGAATATATTGGCTACGTTCATTCCTGTGTTTGTCTTGGTTATTGTATTGGATGTATTTTTAATTTATATGCCATCCAAATTATTACGACTTGGTAAGCCTTAAAAATTGATTTCTAAATAAAACAAGAAATAAAACACAAGAAAGCTACCTACTTAAGGTGCTAAAGGTTGATACCAAATATAAAAGAATGAAAAGAGTAGTTAAAATGATTTAATTCAGCTCAAAGACAAAGATGAAAAGAAAGGATTCCTTTTCCAAAGGGAGAACATGATAATAATCCTTTTCCAGAAAATAAGCTAACAGTTTTATAACCATCATAAATTCAATCAAATCTTAATGTAAATAATGAAACAAAACATCCCTATCTAGCAAGAAATCCCTTTTACCCTGTTTTGATAACATTAATTCTTTTTTAGCGTCCCAGTTGTTCAATGGTTCTGGGAATAAATCTTTCTAGTGCTTTCAGATTAGAAAAATTAATTAGATTCTGAATTATATATTTTGAAATAAATCAAACAAAGAGCATTATATCAACGATAGCTATTTCTCTTACCTGGATATTTTCCTCCTCTGCTCCTCTTAATAAAGCAAACTATCAGCAAAATCAGGACCAGGAGAGCGATGGCACACATCAGTCCAATAAACCAGCCTTGAGTTGCAATGTCCCCTTGATTCTTAGTATAGGCTATTTTAAGGAGTTGAAAAAAGAAAAATTAATAGAATAGAACAATCCACACTGTAGTGATGAATTACCAAGCCAGAGTAATTTGATCCAGTCCCATTGATTCCCAATGTTCATATTTTGGGAGTGATGTCTTTGATAACCATGCTCCTCCAGTGTGCGTGATTGGCATGTGTATGTCTCTGTGCACAAAGTTTTATTTTGTATATAACTGTACCACAAGCTAATGTCTAGCAACCGTAGTCTAGATTCATTCCAACAGTGATGAAAAATTGGGGAAGAGAAATATGTGCAAACTTGGCCAACCAAGGAAGGATATATAAAGAGGAAGCAGGAAAAAAAATAAACCTAAAACAGCCGGATAACAGATTTGATCTCTCTTTATAGTAAAGGAAAATGTCTTTGATACCTCAAAAGAGGGTATGAAGTTCCCCACAAGAAGGCTTAGCTTTATCCAGTACACAGATAAAATAAACAGATTTTCTAAATGAAAAAAAAAATCATTCCAACACATCATTCAGTTTCCTGAATATGGTAAGTGGGATCAGAATCAGAAGAAATTCCTTGTAGCACTTGAATAATCAGGTTGTGCTCTTTCATCTTGTAATTTTGATCAGTTTAATACCGAATCATTAAGATTCAATTGCCACCACAATGTTATAGAAATTCAAAAATATTGGTGAAATTCTAGAAAGATTTAACCCTGCAGAATAAGTCCTGACAGCAGTGGAAGATTCTACCTCTTTTTCTACTACTGTTCCATTTGCTCTGCCCACCCCATTCCAATATAGCGACTGCTATATTATTGGAAGAGAAAAATTAATGTTTTAAAAGAGGGCATTGAAACCATAGGGAATAGAAGCCTAAGATAAATCAATGTTCCCCTGTGAAGCAATTGCATGTGATTCATTTTTTTCTGAAGCTCTTATTGACTTCCCAGTCCCAATGTATCAATGTAATGGCTGGGGGTAAGCAATCTGTACATGACTGCCAATTCCCACTAGTACAGAAATGAGTGGCACCACTCCATTGGTATGAGAAAGCCGTCATGATAACAGGACTTGCCAGATGCACTACAGGATGCTGATCATCCACTGCTGAATTATTTCACTAATACTATTTTATGTTACTATTCCATTTATATTAAAAGAGAATAAGCATAATACTGCATTATGGTTTGTCACCTTGAGAAATTACACAATTCTACAATCTTTACAATCAGTGGTAACAAATGAGGGTGTTATTATAATGGGAATGCAGCATTTACATAGTTGTGTCACACATACTCTGACATGAGCATGGAAATTGTGGTAGTTGCGTGACAATGTCATCGTGCACTTATTCTAATCTTCCCCCACCTGCAGTCACTTATTTTTACATTCATCTGAGCTTTTTGAGCTCAAAGTTAATATAACTTCCAAAGTATATTCATGCCTTTAACATAGCCATATGCTTTTAACATAGTCAGTATGTTGATGTACACCAGAATTAGTTACCATTTGTCTCATTATTCTTAAAGGAGCTACATTACAAGTTGCTCTGTATCCAAATCAAAATATTTTCCAAAATGCTACAAGGAGGAAAATCCTTTAATCAGAACTGAAATGGTAGAATTTAGTTAGATTATGATATGAATGAAGCAAAGATTCAGGAGAGGAATTTGGAGCAAAGTAGGGGTGCCTCTAGATAATAGCTTTGCATCATTTCAGAAACAACTATGGACTATGAAGACTGTGGTAAGTCTTCAAATTATGACAATTAGTTCAGTAACCATTTAAAGTTGGACCAGTCCCCAAAATTGTGGCTGTGGCAGCACCCCCAGCAACCTGAAAACTAACTGAACAGGGCATGTGCTGAAAAAACGAGGGGGGCTATTTTTGTTCCTCCGAGTGGAGTATATATGTGAGGATTTTTATCCTTGCAGATTAGCTAAGGGGTCAAGGATTTGATCAGATGAATTGTTTGTACTTCCCTATAATCAGCTATTCTGTAGAATAGCTATTTTACTAGTCTATGATATTCCTTATAGATTTTCCCATATTTTCAGTGTGGTGCAAAGAAAGTTGATAGCAAGTAATTTGAGTTTATTTGTGAATTGTTTCATGTGAAAAATGAAGATATAAATTCACTTAATGAAATACTATCCACTTAATGAATTTTCTAAGTACTCTGTTAAATAGTAAATAACAGGAATGATTAAATGGGCTCTTATATACTGTATGAACAGGATCTATCAATTCCTACTTTCTGTAGCACTTGATTTTCTTGGGCAAAGACAATGTGAAATTTCTAAAATAAAGAGCACTTTAAACAAAATAGTGCATTTTCAAGCTTCATGAAAAAAAACAACTCATCAAGATTGTATGAAAGCATTACCGCAGGGATGACTCACTTGGAACAAATTGTGAAAAGCCTTAATGGTTGAATTCATGACATGAAAATCAATGAGAATTTTTCTTCCTCATGAATTAAACTAGAATTGTGCTATTAGTCCAGAACCTAATGGCTTCATCAGAACACCAGTAGGAAGTAACACATATAAGCAGCTTTCAAGATATCTACAATAAATTAGAAATATCACAAATAGCACTAATGGAAGATTATTGCAGCCATACAGAACTGAAGTCCTGCCAATATTATAATGAAGTCTACATAGATAGCTAGCAGGCCTTTTTACACGCTCTTTGGGCTTACTTTAAGTGCTAACTTCTGTAATACTTGCTAGCAATAAGAGTTTGATTACAGGAAGAATGCAAATATCCCAGAGGCCACTTGCTTTTAACTCAATCCACATATGCTGTGTACATGTTAGATGTGAATAAAACTTATTTGATTTCCTATCTTCACATAAAATCATCTTCAATGCTGGAAAACCATCACAATTATCATAACATTACTACATACTACTACCGGTACATAATAAATATATGTCCAGTCTCTGAAGTTTCAAGCTAGAAAAATAGTGATTTTAATAATCTTTTAAACTAAACATGATATAATAGGTATTGTAGGGTTAACAGGTGACATCATTCTCAAAAACATGATGGGTTTTCTTTGGTTTATATAGCAATAGAGACAGCGGAAGAAGGTAATGTTGCTATTGGGTGACCCTGGTTGGACAGTTACGATTCTAGCAGCTGCTAAAGAATATTGCGAGTCAATCTTAACAGTCCTAGATCTCTCCAATTAGATAGCAATGAGACTTCTGGTTGGGCTAGGAATAAAAAGAATATGTGCACTTCTGGACATCTAAAAAAACTCTCAAAATTATTGGAAAGATATACATAGTTCCATATAGAGACTTTTAGAAAGTAAATCTGAAATTAAATCAGTGTTTTAAGTAGGTATAATTTCAGAATATATTAGCAAGAAACATAATTTATTGAACTATATATTCACAGCAGCAAGAATAAACTTTACCCAATATTGGAAGACAGACACAACACTAAATGATATTTAATTGGGATCTTCAACAGTATGAGCTAACGACAAAACAAACAGCATATATTTGCAACAGAAGTTTAACCAAATTCAGTCAAAAATGGTTTCCATATACACAATGAAGCAAGCAGCAAAGCAAATACAAACACTACCACTATGGATTCTAAGACGGTCTAAATGTGTATAAATACTGCAAATCAGCTGGTGTATAAAGAAGAGGGAATCAAACCTCAAACACTTATCTATTGTCTAAGCGGCTTCTTTTTCCCTTTTCCCTTTTTAAACATTTATAAACAATAATAATTAACAGTACAGTGAAGACCTTAGTATTAAGCATTAGAAAATGGAAACCTTTTTTATATAATAAAATAATTTAATGCATTTTGCATTTGTCTGTGAATGCCATGCTTAGCTTCAATTGTACAATTCAAGCAACCTTAAGTTTCTTAATGTTCTAAAAATGTATAACATTGATATTTTCCCCGCTATTTTTAAAGATTTAACTTACCTAAGCTATCATAATGTTAACAATGTCCAGTAGCATAATTACTACTGTACCCGGTTTGTGTATTGTGTGTGTGTGTGTGTGTGTGTGTGTGTGTGTGTGTGTGTGTGTGTGAGAGAGAGAGAGAGAGAGAGAATGTATTATTCTCATCTTATAATGAAATAAACATTACTTGAAAAAAAAAGACTACTGTATGTGTACTCCTGACCGGTCAGCAAAGTGGCTCTTCCTTGTTTCAGCTCATTATCTAGCTTTATCTGTTCATTTTACAGACCTAGAAGGGCAGAATAAGTATCTAGTTCTAAGCTCTAGATCTGTCCATGGTTCCAGCCTGCCTTTATGATCTCAGTCATTATCAAGCTCTCAATTACAAAAAGGACCATTTTTACTATTTCACACTTCAAATGGGTAATGGGATATACCAGTATACATTTTGTCCAGTTCCTATACTTTCTCCTGCCTCCTATTCCATAAGTTGGCTATGGATCTGTATACCATGTGCTTTGTTTTCAAAAGCCCTAAATTCCATTTCTGGCCACTGTGATTAAGAGACTGCTCAGTTGTGATAAGAGAGCTGCTGTGTGGATACAACATCTGAGTAGGTAGGATAAATTATTGCCTCATTTGATATAAAAGAAGAAACTTATGTTCTGTTGTCAATGAAACAGGAATGAAAAAAAAAATCTGCATCTACATTACTACAGGATGCTTTTCCAAAAGTTTAATCAAATCAACCCCACCGAATGTCAGGGGCATCTCCTGGCCTTTAATTTTTGTCATTTTCAGTAGTTCTACTGGCAGTGAATATACTGTACAGAACCATTTCCTGTTAAAAGCTGTAACAATATGGGACAAAGGGAACTTTGAACTGATGCAATTCATCTAATGGAAGGAGTATGTTATTAATCGCCTGGATCTGAGACTTGCATTAGGCTAACTGAATCTACAGAATGGGGAGAAAGGGAATACAAAATCATTCTAAAGGTTTGGGAATCAAAGTTGATTTTGTTAATAATGCAAGTATAGAAAAGCTTTCAAGTGAAATAATTAATCTTAA